GAAGTAGCAACAAAAATAATTTTATGGTTGGGGGTCACCACAACATGAGGAACTGTATTAAAGGGTCACGGCATTAGGAAGGTTGAGAACCACTAGTCTAAAGAAACAATATGAAAGATCAATGAAACCATGAGCTGGTCTTTGAAAAGATAAAAAAGATCAATGAACCTTTAGCCAGGCTCATCAAGAAAAAAATGAAAGATGACACAACTAAATAAAATCAGAAGTGAAAGAGGTAAAGTAACAACAGAAATACAAAGGATTATTGAAATATATTAAAAATAACTATATGCCAACAAAGTAAACAATCTAGATGAATTGGATAAACTCCTTGAAACATACAATCGTCCAAAACTGAACCAGAAAGAATTAGAAAACCTGAATAGAAAGATTACAACTAATAAAATTAAAGCAGTAATCAAACAACTCCCCAGAAACAAAAGTCCTGGAATAGACGACTTCCCAAGTGAACTTTACCAAACATCCACAGTAGAACTAACACACATTCTTCTCCAAGTATTCCAAAAACGTCAAGCGGAAGGAAGTCTCCCAAGCGCATTTAACAAGGCCAGCATTATCCTAATTCCAAAACCAGATGAATACTCTACAAAAAAATTATAGGTCAATATCCCTGATGACATAGATACTAAAATTCTCAACAAAATATTAGCAAATGGGATCCAACAATAGAGAAAAAAACATCATACACAATGATCATGTGAAATTTATTCCAGGGGATGCAATGTTGGTACAATATCTGCATATCAATAAACGCAATATGCCACATAAAGAAAATTAAGGTTAAAAACCACATGATCATATCAACAGATATGCAGAAACAGCATTTGATAAAATCCAGCACCCATTTATGATAAAAACTCTTAGCAGCATGGGAATAAATAAACATACCTCAACATAGTAAAAGCCAAATAAGACAAACACACACCCAACATCATACTGAACAGGCAAAAACTAGAAATGTTTCCCTTCAGATCAAGAACAAGACAGGGATGCCCACTTTCACCACTCTTACTCAACATAGTACAGGAAGTTCGAGCCAGAGCAGTCAGACAGGAAGAAGAATAAAAAGCATCCAAATTGAAAAGGAAGAACTGAAACTGTCACAATTTGCAGATGACATGCTACTGTATGTAGAGAACCTTAAAAACTTCACCAAAAAACTACTACAACTGATAAATGAATTCAGTAAAGTACCAGAATACAACATAAATGTCCACAGATTGCATTTTCATACAACCAGTAATGAACTATCAGAAAGGGAAACTAAGAAAAAAAAATACCATTTATAATTGCATCAAAAAAATAATAAAATATCTAGGAATAAATATAACCAAGGATGTAAAAGATCTGCACTTGAAAAATTATAAGACACTGAAGAAAGAAACTGAAAACGCTATCAATAAGTGAAGGCATGTACCAAGGTCATGAATAAGAATTAACATCATTAAAATGTCCATACTACCCAAAGTAATCTATAGATTCGACACAATTCCTATCAAGATGCTAATGGCAGATTTCACAGAACTAGAACAAATATTCCAAAAATTTACATGGAACCACAAATTACCCTGAATGGCAATAGCAATCTTGAGAAAAATGAACAAAGTTGGAGGAGTCAGTCATGCTACCTGATATCAAACTATGCTACAAGGCCATAGTAACCCAAACTGCACAGTACTGGCATAAAAACAGACATACAGATCAATGGGACAGAGGAGAGAGACCAGAAATAAGCCCACACCTTTATGGTCAGTTAATGTTTGAAAAAGGAGGCAAGATCATACAATAGGGTAAAGACAGCTTATTCAATAAATGATGTTAGAAAAATTGGACAGATATTTACAAAAAAATAAAACTAGACCACCTTCTTAAATGACACACTAGAATAAACTCAAACTTGATTAAAGACTTAAATGTTAGATTCGAAACTATAAAAATCCTATAAGACAATACAGGCTGTAAAATCTCTAACATTTCTCTTAGCAATTTTTTTTTTCCTGATCTATCTCCTTGGACAAGAGAAACATAAGAAAAAACAAACAAATGGAACTACATCCAACTTAAAAGTTTTTGCACAGCAAAAGAAAGCATCAACAAAATAAAAAGGGAACTCATTGACTGAGAGAACATATTCACCAATGATACATCTGATAAGGGGTTAATATGCAAATTTTATAAAGAAGTGATACAACTCACCACACACACACACAAAAAAAAAATTTAAAAATCAGCAAGGATCTGAATATACATTTCTCCAGAGAGGACATACAAACATATGAAAAGATGCTCAATGTCACTAATTATCAGAGAGATGCAAATTAAAACCACAATAAACTATCACCTCACACCTGTCATGATGGCTATCATCAATAAATCAACAAACAGTAAGTGCTGGTGAGGGTGTGGAGAAAAGGGAGCCTTTGCACACTGCCGAAGGGAATGCAGACTGGTGCAGCCACGGTGGAAAAGAGTATGGAGTTACCTCAAAAAATTAACACTGGAACTGCCTTATGACCACTTCTGGGAATGTATCCAAAGAAACCCAAAATGCAAATTCAAAAGAATATTATGCACCCCTATGTTCATTGCAGCATTATTTACAATAGCCAAGATTTGGAAGCTGCCCAAATGCCCATCAACAGATGAGTGGATAAAAAAGCGGTGGTACATTTACAAAATGGAATACTACACAGGTGTAAAAAAAATCCTACCTTTTACGACGGCATGGGTGGACCTGGAGAGCATTATACTAAGTGAAATAAGTCAGTCAGAGAAAGACAAGTACCACATGATCTCACTAATATGTGGAATCTAGTAAACAAAATAAACAAACAAAATAAAAACAGACTTGCAGATACAGAAAACAGAGGAGGGGGAACCAGGGGGCTGGGTTCAAAATGTGACAGGATTAAGAAAAAATAAAAGGTCACAGACAAAAACAACAGTATGGTGATTACAAGAGGGAAAGGGGGTTGGGAGGAGGTGGAAGAAGGTAAAGAGGAGACAGATGGTGACGGAAAGAGACTCAATTGGGGGCAGTGAACACACAGTACAATATACAGACGATGTATTATAGATTGCACCCCTGAAACCTATATAATTTTATTAACCAGTGTCACTCCAATAAGTTCAATGAAAATTTCTGGAAAAGCCTGCATACTGTGTGAGTCCACTTATACAGAATTCTAGAACATGCTGACTAATACTCTGGAAAGATAAAGGTGAACAGAAGGATGATTTACAAAGGGGAGTAAAGACATTCTGGGGGTGATAGAAACATATGTTGTCTTAATTGTGGTGTTGATGATGGTATCAGTGATGATGATCAATCTGACCAATTTTACACTTCAAATATGTGTGATTTACTGTAATTCCATAGGCCTCAATAAAGCTGTTAAAGAAAAAAGTATAAAAAGGCAACTCTGAGGATCAAAGAATTTGCACAGTTAGTAGCAGAAAGGGAACAAAAAATAGTCTCAGGCAGCATTCTGCCGACTGCATCCTTTTTCCTCGTCCCACCTGTTCCCCGAACATCCCAGACTGCCCCTCCCCAGTGGGGGCTGACAGCGGGGACGAGCATGCCAGCCCCCCAGACACAGCCTCCCCCTTCTCATCCCGGTTTGTCCTGTGCTGGTTCCAACAGCCAGGTCCCTGATGTGATGACTCTTCTTGACAGACAATAAGTATTCCTGGCAGGAGGCAATGACAGCTGCCCCAGCACCAGCCCGGAGACACCCCTTCACTGGAGGGAACAAAGCATTTTCTGCCTAGAAGAAAACCGTGTGCAGGTGTTCAACTTCCCGACCACACCAACATCAGAAGATACAAACCCACACGCAGAGGGGAGTACATCCATTTTCAGAAAGAGCACCCAGCCCCAAGCAAGAAGACAGCAGCTGGACAATCTCCCCCTCGGAACAGGACCAGGATACCCCGAAAACTCCAAACTGGTGACTGATGACGGCCCTGGCCTCACCAGCCTCCTTCACCTATAAGGACTTACATCCTCCACCATGACACAGCCCTAATTTGCACACACGTGCACATGCACACACACAGTCTCAGCCTCGGGCCTCTCCTACCACTTCGCATGTTGCACCTTCCAGTAAGAAGGCAACGCTGCTCTCCCAGTACAAGCTCCGTGCGAAGGGGGCCATCCCTTAGCTCTCTGAGGACGCACCCTGCTGACATCACACTGGGCTGCAGGAGGAGCTCTCGTCCAGGCTTCTGGGGGTTCTGGTGGCTCCCCGCAGCTGAGGCAGAGTCTCTGCAGGCAACCCCCACAAAATGACACCAGATGGCGCTTCCCTCGGCCCTGGTAAGGCACGGGAGGCTGTGAAGAACTTTTTCTTTTCTTTTTTCCATGTTTGGGAATTCCCTCATGTCCAAGGACTAGAGAACTAGCTGCACCTTCAGAATTGGTATCGTGGTGCCTAAGGATCCAAATTATTGATGCAACCTCAAGGCAAAACCACCTTGTTCCAGGGCCCGGAGCGAGACGAAAGCACCTGCCTGTCGCAGCTCAGTGAGGAGAGGCTTCATTTCTGCTTCCTTACTGCCCCCAAATCACAAACAACCAGCCCAGGCCTGCACCACAACCCCACTGTCATTCGCTAACGGATTCAGCGAGTATTACTAACACCCACTTCATGCCAGACCGGACTAGGTCCCAGGGGTAATGAAGTGAGCAAAACAGACATTGCCTTGTGCTCGTGGAACTTATTATCTCCAAACACTTAGTCACATATTTTTTTTTAAAGTCTGTTTCTGATTCAAAGTAGCACTTTTGGCAAAATCACAAGCCTGCACTACAAGGTGTGAATACGGACCGGTGCAGCTGACCTCGCGTGAGGTCAGAGGCCTCCTTTATTTATCATCGTGGCTGGAATTCGTGAACTCCACCCAGGCCATAGGCATCCCTGAAATGTCTGGGCTCAGTCCACACCCTCATGCCAACAAGAACCCCTGCGGGGCCTCACCTCTCGCCACCGGGCGCCCGCACTGCTGGAGATGTATACGTTCACCTTGCTTGCCAAGTTCTTTCCCACTGAACCTGAAATGCAAGAGGAATGACAATTTTTTATTTCAAGAACATGTCAGGTAATCACCTTGCCCAACTACAAATTCCGAGTAGGATCTAGCAACAGAGAACGTCTTAAACGCACAGCGCAGTCACCACGGGTCTGCTGCAGACGAGCACGCAGACTGACCAGGAAGTAAGAACAGGCAAAGCACGCTTACCGGTGGCAATAATGAGGCCAGGCGCCGACGCCTTGGACAGGATGGGCATCCTCCGCAGCTGGAGGTGGAGCAGCTGGCTGAGCCGCTGCGCCAGGTGCAGGGAACAGCCCTGGGACAGCTACAAAACACAAGTGCCAGGCACTGTCAGCAAGTGACAGGATGCCCACACCTCCCGCCAAACACGGAGCCTGTGCGTGGACAAGGCAGCTGGATGCACAGGAAGGAGTCTCGGCCCCAAGGAAACCCCAGTCACAGCCAGGCGTCCCCACCCTTCACCAGCCGGACAGGAGCAGCTGAACACGTGGATGCCTCTCACTGAAGGAAAAGTGCTAATAAAATAACACCTTCTAGGACTCCCAGAGAAGTAGCAACCAGAAATCACTGGCAACTCAAGTAGACAGAACGCTACTAATCTCTCCATATTACCTAGACATTCCCCCAGGTGACTCCCAGACACACGTGATAAAAAAACACCAAAGCAGACACAATAACTGTTTTTTAAAACACTACATCTGGTCCTGGCCGGTTTGGTTCAGCGGTTAGAGCGTCGGCCTGCGGTCCTGAGAGACCCGGGTTCGGTTCCCGCTAAGGGCGCGTACCTCGGTTGCAGTTTGTCCCCGGCCCTGGTTGGTTGTGTGGGTGGCAGCCACTCGATGTGTCCCTTCACATCGATGTTTCTCTCTCTCTCTCTCTGTTCCTCTCTCTCCCTCCCGCTCTATCTGAACAAAAAATGGAAAAATGTCCTCGGGTGAGGATAAAAAAAAAAAACTACATCTGTACAAAGTACAAAGTCTACAGATATTCACCGTCCGAACAACTTCCAGTTGCTCAAACTGACCTCCATCACTACATCGCATATTTCACTTCTGCAAACAAGGCCTTTTGCTACATGGTCATGCCTGACCCTCTTGGCCAGAAATGATTACCAAGTGTGTTCTGGACGGGTAATTCTGTGTGCGCATACAGCGTTGGTAAAACTGTGACATGGTTTGCTAGGTACACCTACTTTCTATAATACAAGGGTCCTAACAAATGTCCACTTGCCAGCATCAGAGTTTGGCAAATGGAAACCAGAGCCAGCTGAGCTCTCAGAGAGACCTGCCGGCCTTCTCACCCTTCTCCTGCTCTTCATCCTCCGAAATCAGAGGTAGAAGCAAAAGGCTGAAAAACCGTTGCACAGCTCGTAAGTAAACTCGTCGGTCAGTAAAAGAGAAGCTGAATTTTAACAATACCATTAAACCTATTTAACCAGGGCTTAGCCCACCACATGTTGAACAATGCCCCACCCCACCCCACCCGACCTCTGCAGACGCAGCCCCAGCCCACACCGCGGAGAGCAGAGGGCCCAGCTGTCGGTCTACCTGCACTGATACCCGCGCCTCTCGGCAAATCTCGACCTGATGTGGCCAGTCAGGACCTGGTGCCAAACCAGGAAGCACATTCTAGAGCAAGATATCAAAGAAACTGTCCCAAGAGCCACAGACACAGCATATATTTACATGGGCACACAAAACTCAAAAATCCAAAAGACTAGGTGATTGTCTCACTAAAATGTTAGTTTCTCCAAAAATTAGTACTCCTTTTTTATTGTTTTGTTTTTTAAAAAAACTTAAAATCATTTTTTTCCCTTTATTGATCTTAGAGAGAGAGGAAGTGAGAGGGAGAGATAGCAACATCGATGAGAGAGAACATCGACTGGCTGCCTCCTGCATGCCCCCCACTGGGGTTCAGGCCCACAACCTGGGCATGTGCCCTGACCGGGAATCGAACCAGCAACCTCCTGCTACAGGGTCGACGCTCAACCACTGAGCCACACCGGCCGGGCAGCACTCCTCGTCTTTGTCTGAGTTCTTTCTGTGAAGCCAGGTTCCACACCCGGACCCTCCCTGCAGTGAAGACAGATGTGGTCTATCACACGAAGCCTGGGGCTCCCTGACGGGACCAGAGCACACACTGCAGCATCCTTAGCTTTTCAGATGAAGCCACAGATGGAGAATTTCAGAATCCAAAATCATATTCAGAGAGGAATTGTATGTATTTTTTTATTTTTTTATCCTCACCGAGGACATTATTGCATTTATCTTCAGATAGAGCAGGAGGGAGAGAGGGAGGAAGAGAGAAAGTGAAATATCGACATGAGAGAGACACATCGACTGGTTGCCATTCACACAACCCCAACCGGGGCCGGGGACAAAGTGCAACCAAGGTACGTGCCCCTAGTGGGAACCGAACCTGGGACTCTCCGGTCTGCGGGCTGACGCTCTAACCGCTGAGCCAAACTGGCCAGGGCCAGAGAGGAATTGTAAAAGAAATTCTACAGAAGTAGCATACGGGAGAGATTTTCAAGTTTTCTTGGTTCACAGCAAACTGGTGTCTCAGTAATGTTGTCACAGCACTTTCAAGCCAGAAGAAACACAGTAAGTGTGTCTATCCGAAGAACTTAGTGGCAGTTGGAAAGAACAGTATTATATATAAATATTAAAGCAAAAATAAAATTTTTATTTCATTCTTAAGTACCTACAGCTACTTAAGGATAGGATGTGTGGCCCTGTTGGCACTAATAACTGCTCAGACTTTGGAGTCGAAGCAGACACCACCACGGCCATCTCCTGTCCACTCTCATTTTCCAGCTTGCTCTCCATGACATCAACTGCTCACAATTCTGCTTCATGAAGACACGATGTCATCAAAAGAAATGCAGCCTGAGCTCATGGTGAAACTTGGCACTAAGTGAAGACAGCAATCCGCACAGTGTGAACAGATGTCAAGTATCACAGTGCTTCCTCAGACACTTTAAATGTCTGTGGTGCCCCTGGGAATTCCCCTTGTCACCCCAGTGTGCCTTGGTACAGAGTTTGGAAACTGTACATGTAGAACCACAGATAAAACTTTGTATTAAAAACTCAAACAAGCCCGGCCAGTGTGACTCAGTGGTTGAGCCTCAACCCATGCAGCAAGAGGTCACCGGTTCGATTCCCGGTCAGGGCACATGCCCAGGTTGTGAGCCAAACCCCCAGTGGGGGGCATGCAGGAGGCGGCCAGTCTATGTTCTCTCTCATCAATGTTTCTATCTCTCCCTCTCCCTTCCTCTCTATGTAAAATCAATAGAGGAAAAAAGAAAGGTAGCCTAAGGAAAAATTTTAAAATCACAAGATGAAAGCATCTATACCTCACAGTCGATTTTCTCTCCATATCCTGTGAAGGCTGGCGCCTGAAGAAACTCCCAGGTCCCCCCTTTGTCGAAGGTGATGACAGATCTCATGTTCTCCTCACTCATGGACCCATTGATCAGAGTCGCAATGTAGACGCCTTGTAACCCTTCCACACGGTGGAAGTCAGCAAACGGCTCATTTGCAAAGTACCTACAATAACAGAAAATAAATAGCTGTGAAACGGCACTGGCATTTTCCGGTATGTTTTCCCTGTAAACAACACAAAATGCAGCCATGTCCAAGGACACCGCTCAGCAGCACGGCACTTCCCCATGCAGCCATGGCCACAGGCTGGGACAGTCTCATCGGCCAAAAGGAAACCCTGCACCCCAGGCCGTCACCCCGCCCCCCTCCCCACCCAAGGCCCTGGAACCGCGGATCGCTGTCTGTCTCGATACATCTGTCTGCTCTGGATACTGCACATACATGGGCCATACACTATGGGGCCACTGACACGGTTACTCTTCACTCAGCATAATGTTCTCCAAGCTCATCCATGCTGCAGTATATCAGCACCTCATTCCTTTTGGTGGTTGAATAACTGCTCTTTTTAAAAAAAAAAAAAAAGTTTTTTTAACGTTGAAGGTCAAGATGCTTCTCTGATGAGTAATTCCTCACAGGGTTCAAGGATGACCATAACACACAAAAGCGGAGTGAGAGTCCCCTCTACCTGTCCAGTACCAAAACTGACCCCAAGTCTTCCAGAGTCTTGACAAACAGCAAACCACCAGCCAGACTTGCCAGACGCTGACAACAGTGCCCAGCTCAGGTTACCCACTCCAGAGGACACAGCCCAGGGTAAGGCGGGCACTGTCCGGGCGCCACCGCTGAGTGCCTGACACCCGACCACAGGCCCCTTCGCGGAGCTGGAGCGGCAATGCACCTGCTGTGCCAGGACCCGCGGCTGCCGGACAGCACCCTCACAAACACCCAGACCTCTGAGGGCAGGAAGCTCGGGGACACATGGCTTTCAAAGACTGCGAGGTGCCCTTCGTGGAGAGCAGCAGTTCTCACCCTGGGGCTCGGACAACCCTTTCACAGGGGTGGCCTAAGACCATCGGAAAACAAATTGGTTATGAAGTAACAACAAAAATAATTTTATGGTGGGGGGGTCACCACAACATGAGAAACTGTATTGAACGTCGTGGCATTAGGAGGGTTGAGGACCACTGATGTAGAGGGTCTGAGTCACCGGGCTTTGCAGAAACGTGAGCCCAGACCTGCTGTTGTCCGTGATCTGCAACTCAAACATTGCGCTGGATGGCTGCTGTCACCGCAGACAGACAGACAGACAGACAGAGGATGCTGCAGCGCCGGTGCCGGGGGCGGGGGGGGGGGTGAGGAGGGGCAGACACAGCTGGTTCAGCCTGAGCCCAGCGGGCCCTGAGCAAAGCCCTGGAGGGGAGTCAAAGCGCTGACGTGCAGGTGCCTTTGGCCTATTTCAGTTGTTCTTCAGCCACTTCCTCAGCGCTCAGCCCGAGGCCCGTCCTCCCGATCTGCTGAGCTCAGCTCTGCTGCTTCTCATTCTATCGTCCTGCCCTCTGTCATCCTCGGGCTTACTCGCCTCTTTCATCCGGCAGGTCGGCGTTTCTCTCATTTAGGGGAGCACTGTGTCTGTCCCCCGGTCATTCTCCTCAAGTTTTAGCTTTTAGTTCCAGGCAGAAGCCTGACCTCTGTCTGCCACCCGCCCCGCCTCAGTGCCCAGCCCCTGTCACCTCCCCCTGGACTGGCCCCACACCAGGGCACCCGGCCCTACGCTCTCCTCCCGAGAGCCCGTCCTCTGCTTCCCTCACCGACCTCAGTGCAGCCCACCCCGCGCTGCCCGGCCCGGCCACCCTGTGTGCAGATGGCGCCTCCTAGCACTCCTGGCCGGTGCTCCGGGCCCCAGGCCCGACAGCTCATCGCCCCCCGGCGCCTCCATCTACTCCCACGATGCTTCCCGCGGTCTCCACGCGGCACGGCCCCCCAGCGTCCCCCCACTAGGGCTCTTTCTCCAGTTCTCTAAGCAAACTAGAGCCAGTTTCTAGCTACCACACTTCTTCCTGAGCTCAGGGAACCGCTCATTTCAGAAACCACAGCCACCTCGTCGTCCACGCTGGGTGCAGGGGGACCCCCCTCCCGAGACAAAACCTAAGACAACAAGAAGGCCGAGCAGGACGCTGGTGTCTGAATCCTGATGAGAATCTGTTTGCATCCGACTGACGGGGCTGCATGCTTGGGCGGAGGAGGGACCTGCGTCGGGGCACGAAGGGCTGGGAACGGCCGACGGACCGGATCATGCACCTGCTCTGCCCCGTCCTCAAAGATCCAGTCTAGCTGCCTGCAAAGGTGGAGGGTGGGGACCTTTGCAGGCTATGACGTGGCCCCACAGCCAGACGCTCTCAGTCATGAGAGGCCCGAGGACAACGGATGTTCCCGACATTAATTACAGAAAATGGAGAACACCGCTCATCCATGAGGAGAAATGGAGCGCGGCCACGGCCCACAGGCTCTGAAACACTGCGCCGGGGGACCGAGCCGGACACAGAGCCCGCAGACCGTGACCCCCTCCTGTGAACTCAGAGAAGGCATCCAGGCAGCAGGCACACCAGGCGGCAGGGCCGCGGGGAGGAGGCCACGGGAGAACCTGCCCGACGGAGACGAGGTTTCCCTTTGAGGAAACACAACCCTGTGACTGGACTCGATGTAGTTGTTCCGTTTAAAACAGTTCCATCGAAGTTATGCAAACTTCTCCTCCACCAGTCGTTTTCTGTGGAGTCACAGGAACCGGCCGCAGGGGCTGCACCGACCACGTGGACCGGCCGAGCCTGTCACGCAGGAGTGGTCTACACCGCATCGCAGCACACGGGTGACCAACGACCAGCCGTCCTTGCTGGGAATGAGCATGGGCTTCACCAAGACGGCTGAGGATACCCGTGCTCACCTCCTCCCACGACCACATCCAAACCACAAGTGACAGAACCAGCACCCCTGAGGACCCCCTGGAGACCAGCGGGATGGAGCCTTAACAGGACATAAAGGAGAAGCCACGTCAACACTGGCAGGAGGGGCAGAGACTCAAAAAAGACTGTGCCACACCCAGGGTGGCGGCTAGGGCCTGGGGGCATCTTGGTGGCAGTGGTTTCCACTGAGGAACAGGCCCAGGCCCCACTGACTGCACCAGGGCCAGGAAGCGGAGGGGCCCCGACACCTGTCCGTGAAAATGAGTGGGAGTCGGTCCAGGCAAGATGCAGGGCGCGCGGAGACCGGGCGCCCTCCGGAAGGGCCTGAGCAGCCTCCCTGCTCGGAACACTCTCCGCACACCCCAGGGAGGGGCAGTGCTCTCGGAGCACCAGGAGCAGGGCGGCTGAGCTACCTGGCCCCAGGGGAAGGCCACCGGCCAGCTCCCCGGCACAGGAGAGCAGGCAGTGCCACTCTGTCCTGCTGAGCCCTCCCCACCACAGCCTGCAGCAGCACGTGGGGCACATCTGACTCTCCATCGACCAGCTACCCCAGCTCGTGCAGCCCCACCTGGGAACTCCCAGAGGCCCCTCCTACCCAACTCACACACCTGCCCAGGCCCCTTGAAAGGTGTTCTCTAAGTAGCTGTACCTCATGAGCAGCCAGCCTGTCCTAACGTCTCTCAAATACACACAGGCCCCAACCAAACAAGCAGTGGCCTGCAGCTGGCTCGAGGGCACCTCCGAGGCCAGCACGGCAGCTGCTGTCAGGGGTCCAGCTGAGCACAGGCAGGCTGACCGCGCACGAGGCCTCAGAGGCCACAGAGACCTCACAAGAGGCCTCGGAAACAACACCCCTGGTTGCCGCCTGAGACCACACCACAGCACCACACACAACACCCAAAGAGTGGACTGACAGGCACAGAGCACAGCTCTCTCAAAGTCCACCCCAAGGGGTCAGGCCCCAACAGCAGCTCCTCTGCTGTAGACTCAGCCAGTCAGCCTGAGGTCCATGCAAATCACTGACCTGCCGACAGCAACCCAAGCTCAACTACAGGCGGGCTCAGGACGGCAGCGGAGGTAAACGTGGCCCTCCCCTCCTCCCAAGACCACATCGAAATTACAACTAAATGCCCGGTCAGAGTGGCTCCGTGGTTGAGCACTAAGAGGTTGCCGGTTTGATTCCCAGTCAGGGCACACGCCCAGGATGTGGGCCAAATCCCCAGTGGGGGGAATGCAGGAGGCGGCCAATCAATGTTCTCTCTCATCAATGTTTCTATCTCTCTCTCCCTCTCCCTTCCTCTCTCTCTAAAAATCAACAGAGAAAAAAAAATTACAACTAAACTACAGAACAACCATCCTTCAGAACCACCTGCCATCTGGCTGAACAGAAGTCCTACAACTAGGGACTGGAGCAGCAGCCACACGGAGCCTGGCAGGAGGCGGGGATGCAGCATGAAAAAGCTGGTCCCACACACACACCTCGTCTGTGGTGGTCCCCTCTGAGGAGGGAGGGGTCCCCGTCCCACACCAGGCCCCAGCTCAGGGTTCCAGGGCAGGAAGAGAATCCCCATCACTTCTGGCTGTAAAACCAGCGGGAGCTGAGGCTGAGGGAGGCTGAGGCTGCGGGAGCCCCAGGCAGCTCCTCTTAAAGGGCCCGCGCAGGGACTTCCTCGGATTCGCTCCTGGGCTCCAGCACTGGGGAGAGCTTGAAAGGGAGCAGGTCATACAGGCAGGAACTAACTTGTCTGGCATCAGGACAAGAGCTGGGGACAGCTTTCTCCCAGACAGACGTGCCGGCAGAGGCCACTGTTGCTTGGTGAGCCCACCCACACACAGCTGGCAGGTGGGAACCATGACTGGGTCTCCACCACCTGGCTCACACTGTTCCCCCGCCTGGTGATTCCCTGAGGCCCCGCCCCACCCAAATTTCAGGCCCACTCAAGCTGTTTCCAGTGGCTTTTCCCTATAAACAGCCTGTCTGGGCTCCTGCTTCAGGCTCTCCTAAAGTCTCTCAGACAAGCAGCATCTGGCCTCTGCATACCCCACACCTCTCACTAAGCGGCCCCAGGCCTGGCACTAGCAGCTGCCCGCCTTGGTTCGTAGCTTGGCATCTCCTGGGCACCTCCAAGTGCAGCACAAGAAACAGCCGTCTGCAGATCACTCAGTAGCTTGTGCCAAGTAGCCCCAGGCCGGGCACAGGCAGGGGCT